ACATTATGGCTTTTCTGATCTTAACAGTGTCTGAATTCAACACTTAATACCTCCTAATCCAGATGTATGAAGAATCTCATTTTCCCCCTTGACCACCCTTCTGACTGTATTAGGTGGAAGCGGCTTCTGTAGGCATGAGTGGGACTGACTTCCAGTCCAGCTTTTTTTCTTTGTCGAATTAATTATGTAGTAAGAAAACTTGCCATTTCTACACTCGGTAGAATTCCAGTCTGTCTTTGTTAAGGGGGCCATACTTGCATCTTTTGCTCAGGTATGTAAGTGCCAATTAAGATGTGTCTAATGTAGAAAATGTGGCCCAGTGTTAGTAATAAATGGTCCTTAACATGTATTACATTTTTCCTGTTTCCCAAACCATGCACTTTGGGCAAATCTAGCTTAAAGGGTCTTCACAGTACAGTACTGAGGACTTGTTTACAGACTGCAAGCCCCCCCTGACCCCAGGATTCATCAGCAGGCAGGTTATAGGAATATCCTGTATATTGTGGCCCTAAGCCACAAGAAGCAGTGAAAAGTTGCGGTTTATTGCTGTAGCTCTTGAGATGTCATAGCAAATGGTCTAGTGCAGTGTTTTTCACCCTTGGCAACTGTAAGATGTGTGGGCTTCAACTCCCATGCTGGCTGGGGAATTCTGGGAGTTGAAGTCCACACACCTTAAAGCTGCCAAGGTTGAGAAACGCTGGTCTAGTGTATGATGTTCTGACAGTGTTCTGTGTTGATCATGATGTAGGTTATATAAATATTAAAAGCTTGTAAAATAGAGCAGTTGTTGCCTTAAAAGTAAATGATATCTGGGCCCAATTCTTGAAGAGGCAAATTCATTTCAAGAGTGGTTATGTCATTCTGTCTTGAAAAATGTGTTCAGAATTTGGGGAGCTTGTAGAAAATTTGGGGATATGGCTCCTTGGTTCCTCCCATGGCTTTGTGCCGATTCCTATTTTCTGTGGAGGTCAGTAGTCCAGGTTTTGAATTATTTCTTCCATGATGCCCCCCAAGCTGGCCATTACTGTATTAGAAAACTTGTTGTGTTGTGTTTTGTTGGCTTCTAGTGGGGGGGGAAAAAGTGTCTGGAATTGTTCAAACAAAGCAAAGAGTATAGAGAATTGAATTCATTTTGAGATTGTATGTCTTTGAGAGAATTGAAAACCCCAACCAGTCACCCTGATTTTACACCATTGATTCCTATGAAATTTAGAGTTGTTATGAAATGGCAGTAGAAATTCACAGGGTTTGTCATATGCATGCATGTTCTTCACGAAAAAAGTAAGTTTTTTGCAGTAGTAAACTAGTTCACCAAGAAGTAGGTTACTACATTAGCGCTTTCCCCTAATATATTCTGTCCTATATACAAAAATGCTAATGTAGGAGAATGTTTGTGGGTATAACATTCCACATGTTTTTGTCTGATGACTAGACTGGTAATTAGTTTGCCCTTCTTGTAGAATTCAGAAACAAAGATAAGTGTGAAAGTAGTGATAATTCTTGCACACTTCTGCAGAAGTCCAAATGAATGTCATGCCAGTGTATTACAGTGTAAGCATCCTTTATTCTGTCTCATTCCAAACCTCAGAAAAGTTTTCAATAAATATATCATTCTAACAAATGTAGCCATCCATTTTCTTGTCCTGATTAAATACACACTTTGTATGCTCAACTGTGAATATTGCATTTTAGTATCATTATGCTGATTAATTGTATTAGCCTGAAAATATTAGCATTGAGCAATAAGAATAAGATCTTAAGTGTTGGTATTCAATGTAAATATTTAACAGTTTAGGAAACAATGTTGTATAATACAGTCATATTTTGCAAGTTTTGTGAATTTTTGTTTATGGCTATAACCATAATTTGTAATTCCATGGAGCTTCCTTGTTAATCTGTACACATTTTAATTATGTCCCCTTACATTTTATGAAGTAATAGCCACTTTTTTTAATAGGACTTCATGCCTTGAAGATTTTTTTTTAAAATAAATACCTAAATAAGCGTCGTGCCTATGATTTATTTCATGACTTGGCTTTTCACTTTATACATCTACCCTTCCACTATGAATCACTCTTGGGAAATAGCGTGTTTGCACATCCCTTTTAAAGAAAACTGCATTTCTGTAAGCTTGCTTTCTTAGCACTCGCAAGGGCCGCAAGTGGTGTCTAGGGAACAACTGCAGTGATGTTTTAGCCACACATACTTCCCTTTTAAGTTGTGGGTGCAGCCCACCAAGAACGTGGCTTATGGTGGCTTTGGTTCAGTTTAATCATGCTCATCAACTGCAAACAATTCCTTTCCCCCTTTATATGGTAAAGCAGAATCAAGCATAAGTATTCTGCATGCACATTTTACTTCCTTAACGCCTTACATGATGATATGGTCTTGAAGAAAAACATTCAGGCAGCACATGGGCCTCATTCCCATAGTCAGCTTTTAGGAATCTCTGGAATCCTTATTACTTGTGATGCGCATTGCATTACCAAGTCTAATCAGCCATGAGGTAAACCTGGCCCATGGTCCTTCAGCTCTGGAACCATTATGGCCAGTCGGGAAAGACTGGAGTTGCAACCACAACATCTGGAAGGTGACAGTCCCTTCCTCGAGGTGGCACGTGTGTGGCTCGCAGAAGATCAGCACCTGTTTCATGCTCAAGCTAGATCTGAGCCTGGGCTCTCCCAGAGTTAGCCTGATGCTCTAACAAGCTCTTTCCCCAACCACATGCCCTATGAAATTCCCATGATGCGCGACCACCATGCAAGCTGTAGGCCTGCTAGGGATCCTGCTGGCAAACGAGGGGGTGGGGTCTGGCGGAAGAAGATCTAGGTTTAGCCCCCAGCTGGAGAGACAGCCAGGCTCTTGACCATTTAATTGCATTAGCATTTAGACATGGCACGGTACCTGTAATATTACTGATTTCTTGACTGTAGAAATTTCTTTATGGGGGAGTGTGAATATGGTATATGGATTAATTAACCAAACAGCCTAGGCCAATCTAACATGCAATGCTACAACATAATTAACTAATTTGTGGCTCAGTTGTTCACAAGAACGCAGCCAGTGCAAACCAGGGTTTTTCCACAGCATCTTTCCTTTGCAGCAGACTCTGAAGTGCAGGGCCTGGGGCTTCACTGTGGGTCTTCTTGTGTCCCAAGCCAAGGGCAGGCATCCCATAATTCCCCAAATCTTAGTGCTGGTTCCCTCCTGAGTTTTGACCCAGGAACTTTGGATGCTGGACTTGGTTCGGCAGGCCCAACCAAGGTGTGCCTTTGATTAGAAACTAGGGGCTTGGGCTTTTTCATCCCAAAGACGCAGATCTGGCACCTATTTTGTTTTTTAAAAGTTTGGCCTCTTCAAGGAAGCCATTTACATCTGTTGTAGGATTAGGCAGAGGGTTTTACAATTTAAAAAACAGTTCAGGTTTGCCTTAAATTGAGTTCTAAGCTCTGCCTGCCAAGTTCTTTGGAATCCTGGATGGTTTTCTGTACGGAAATTGATTGCGTTTTGACTTTTTGGCCTTGCCTAGGGCCCTGCGGTTTCCTAGTGGTCCCCCATTCCAGCCCTACCGAGGTCCACCCCTGCTTTTTTCTCCTGAGCAGCCAAGACTGGCTAGCAGCCTGAAGGTTTGGAGGGGGCGCTTTCCACTTCCCCCTGGCTCAAAGGTACCCCAAACTCATCCTGCAAGTGGAAATCTGGACCCATCATGGGGGAGGTTTCTAGTGCTAGCTTTCTTCCTGCCGAGCTCTCTGCACGGGGGAACATGCAAAGATGTGATCTAACATAAACGCTGCGCACCCCAGTTCCCGCGGACCCCGTTACGCGGGATCAGCGGAGGAGCAGGCCTGCAGCTCTCCGTCCGCCCTCCCTGGCCGGGTTCGCACGACGCAAGGCCACATTTGACACGAGCGAGGGGCGCGAACGGACCCACGAAATGAGTTGACGCGTGGGCACGCCGTGGGAACCCAGAAACCCGGCTCCACGGCGCGAGCTGGGCAGGCGACCCCAGCCTTGCAGCCCGCCCCCTCCACCCTGCCGCGGGCGCGGCGGAGACCCCGATGCACCGGGGAGGGTTGGGAAACTGGAGGGCAGCCCTGCAAGGTCGAAACGATGGGAAGGTGGGCGGGTGGGGAGGGCTGC